GCAGCCATCTCGGCAGACTCTCTAAAGGCCTTCTGAAATCTCCCACAGGCACTGCAGGTTTGCCTGGATCTTCTCAGTGCATTCATCTTGATGACTCTGTGACCCCACCCCAACCCTACCCAGCTGGAGAGAAGACGCTGCTATGGTCTGGATAAGATTTGCTCTTAAGGGCTTGGGTGTTAGAGGGTGGTCTGGAGGGTGGTACTGGGGTACTAGAACCTTTAAGGGGTGGAGTCTGGTGAGAAGAAATTAGGTTACAAGAGTCCCACCTTCACCAGTTAAGTTCCTGGGGACTGAATCAATTCTGTATCATTGTAACTAAAGCAAGACCACACCATACCCGTGACCTCTTCTGCATGCAACTGATTCCCTTTCTGGTTTCCCATTGTATTACAACCTGTCTCAGAAGCCATTAAGATACAGGTATCCCATATTGGACTGTCAGTGTTTAAAACTTTGTGATAAATAAACCTGTTTCCTTTGTAAAGTATCCTGGGACTGCAACAAGAAATAAGCCAAGCCAGAGACCCACAGCAATGTTCCAGAAGATGTATAGACCTTTTCTTCTCTATGACACCTGTGTTCTGCCCTGTACATATTATTATTACACACACATGTACACACACACACACACACACACACACACACACACACACACACACACACTGTACAGACAGGAACATCTGAGGCTCAAGGGCACGGTGTACCAGAACAGGAACATATACATGAAATGGACAACTTCAGTTGGAGCCTGAGTTGTGCTACTAAGTGTTCCACCAAGGTTTAAGGGCTTTCCACCACATGAAAAGAACTACAATGCTTCTCCTCCCATGGCTGCTAGTGGGTATGTGCCTTGCTCTCAAATAAAGAAGAGGAAGTCATTAAGTCTCGGGTGGTAGTCAGAAAGATTTCTCTTTTATGAATAGTGAGTGGCTACATATATTATGTGTGCCACATGAGATACCCATGGTGTACCACAGACCAGAAGAGGGTCCCCTAGAACTGGAGCTACACGTGTTTATAAACCTCCTCCTCCATGTGGGGGGCTGGGACCAACCTGGTCCTCTGAAAGATCAGGAAGTGTTGGTAACTGCTGAGCCACACCCTCAGCCCCATTTGTTTATATCCACAAATACCAAACCCAAGGACACATAACAAGGCTTCAGAGAAGGCAAATAAACTCCAAGGTTTACATAGAGGAAAAACATTCAGAGAGCTAAGGACCTACTTCATGAGCCATGGGCTGGTCTGTGGAGATGCTCTAGAGGGACATCCAGAAGTTTAAGCAGAGTGAGACATATATCACTGGGGTAAAGGGCCCAGTGGAATGACACAGATGCCGGCTGGCACCATCAGGACCAGTCTCTGATGGCATGGACTGAAAAAGCAAAGACGGGTAAAAAGAAGGGCCCTGGAGGCAGGAGCATACCTCTTACATCCTTGTACTTGAAAGCAGATAGGGATCCCACACCTGCCTTACAGGAAGTCTCTCACATCTACAGAGCAAGCAAGATGCTGGAGAGGCTTCACAGCCAGCAGAGCCAAAACATCCACAGGTGTCTAGTCTGGGTAGGACACCTGAGTCCTGCTGTGAACATCCCTCCTGCTCCATAGTCAAGGGGCACAATGATGGGATTGCCTGCCAGCCTAGTCAGCAGGGCTCCACAGCAAAGTCTTTCGTGAGAGAGTTACAGCTGAAGCTTTCCAGGAAGCTAAATAGCAATAGAGGGGTCACTTGGGGATGAGGTCATGATGGAAAGCCACAGGCCCTTGGTCATAAAGACAAAACTGATGGCTTCCTAGCTGAAGGAGACCCTGAGGCAGACGTATCTGCATACTAGTCACTGAGCGTAAGACTGAGAGTGCTTAAGTTTGGGGACACAGATTTCACTTTAGAGGTGAGGAAACTGAAGCCAAGAGAGAAAAGAAAGCCTATCTGAAGGCCATCAGATGGGTCAGAACCAGGAAGAGGGTCCAGAACCAATTCCAGCTCCAGGGCTGTAGATCTCCCAATGAAAAGTACCATCAGCCTAATGCCGGATAGAGAGAAGTTTGGGTGACATAATGGCTCAAGGGTGTCAGAGGCTAGAGTGGTCAGATGATGCTGAGCATAAAAACTTTGAATATGGTTGCCCTGGCTAGTTTTATGTCAAATTGACCCAAGCAAGAGTCATCACAGAGGAGGTGACCTCAACTGAGAAAATGCCTCTGTAAGATCTGGCTGCATTTTCTTAGTGATTGATGGAGAAGGACCCAGTCCATTGTGGGTATAGTCATCCCCAGGCTGGTGGTTCTGGGTTCTATAAGAAAGCAAGCTGAGCCTGGCTGTGGGAGCACACACCTTTAATACCAGCACTCAGGAGGCAGAGGCAGGAGGATCTCTATGAGTTCGAGACCAGCCTGCTCTATAAAGCTACACAGGGAAATTTGCCCTCACTGCTTTTGATGATGAACTGTTGTATGAAAGGGTGAACAAAATAAATCTTTTCCTTCCCAAGTTGCTTTTGGTCATGGTGTTTCATCAGAGCAATAGTAACCCTAACCTAAGACAGTGGTTGTCAGGAAGCAACTGGAAAGGAACTGTGTGGGTGTCACTGCAGAAGGGAGACACAGAAACAGGTTGAGTCCTTTACCCAAAAATTGAACAAAGATGGACAGAAAGAGAGGCTTGAAGGTGCAGGGCAAGAAGCATGGGAGAGTTCTGGGCAGACGGCCTCTATCTTCTGTGCAGGTGAACAGCTGCTAGACACAATTGGTGAGGATATGACTAGGGTTCTGTGGTAGAAACCCGAAAAGAAACCAAGGGGCACCCAGGCATCTGTGAGAAGCTCGCACTCCTGAGGCACATTGTGGAGGCTTGGACTTGGCTCAACCCGTGATCTCTGCTGCAGACAAAAGACACAGGCACTCATCTCCAGCAACGCTTGGCAGCCTGGGTTTTGAAAAGCCACAGAGAAAACAGAAAGGTCTGGTTGCCAAGGGGAGGCCGGAGCAGGAGAACCAAAAAATGGAGTGGGGACCAAAGCCTGCTTGCTCTAGGGCAGGGAAGCAGGCAAGAAAAAGAGACCGGGGGATGGGAGAAAGGCCAGAAGGATAGGAACAAGGGATCTGTGAGGTTTGCTGAAATGAGGTTTAAGTGAGAGGAAACAGCAACTCTAGAATATGGTCAGAGCCAGCAATCAGAATCCTGAGTTCATTCGGGTGAAGGAAAATTAGAGAGGCCTCGATGCATGTGAAGGCCAGCCATGAGGGCAGAGGGCAGACCATTTTAAGGAAGTAGACTGGGCTTGGGAGGCAGAAAGGGAGAAGGTGGGATGCCTCCCTGGAATTTGAGGTTAAAGGGAGTCTCCAGCTGAGAAACAAAGAAGAAATCCCAACAGTGGGGTTCAAGTGGGCCCCTGAAGAGAGGGTGTTGCAAGGTAAGGACCCTACTGAGAGCAGAAAGAAGTTCCTAAGGTACAAAGGGAAGTGGTGGTGCCCGTGTGCACAGACAAGGAATGTCCCTCAGGGGGATGTAGCCAGGAGCACCACCAGTCAAATCCTATCATCTCAGGGCTCAGCATCTCCCAGAGAGTCTCCAGCAAACCCATTTATCAGGCACTGGTTTTGAGCAGCTACATCTTATAGCTATCCCCAGGAAACATCTGCTAAGTGTCTTCCATGTACGAAGAGCTTCAGATCTCCAGCTCAAACACATTCCCAGAAAACCCACCTTCCAAGACACTGTCTCAACCAGCAGCCTATTCCTCCTGTCCCATACTTCTTCTACTTTTAGTCTGTGTGAGGTAGGCATGTGTCCGTGCACATGTACACACGTGCACGCAAATGGTCATGAGATGAGTAAAAGCTAACAGGCCTATTTCTTAGTTATTCTTCACCTTGCAAGTTCCAGGATGCAACCCTCTCCACTTCTCCCAGGGATGTAGTATGTATTGCTGGGTTACAGACATGCACTGTCACACTGCTTAACATGTGTGAGGAGATGCAAACTAAAAAGTTCAAGTCTGCTGATCCATCTCCCTGGTATCCCTCATTAATCTTAACTCATCACCACCTGCCATGTTAGTTACAGCTACTGTATTCACCACCTTCTCTTCAATGCTTACAACAGAGCAGGATATATAACAGTCACTAAGCAAACAGTTTTAGAGTGCTGAATACATTATCTTTGAAATCCAAAGATATTTCTTGTTGGGAAGAAACACTACAAGGTCATTCCTGTTCTTAGAAAGGGAAGTGCTAGGGCTGGACAGATAGCTCAGTGGTCAGTAGCACTGGCTGCTCTTTCAGAGGACCTGGGTTCCATTCCCAGCACCTACATGGTTGTTCATGACTGTCTATAGCTCCAGACCCAGGGGATCCAATGCCCTCTCTGGCCTTACACACTGCGTGCACATGCTACATAGACATACATGTAGGCAAAACATCCATACAACATAAAATAAATAGCTTTTAAATAAATAATTTAAAGAGAAAGAACTGCATTGAGCTTTGTGGAGGTCGTTCACTCTAACACCGGTCTCCAGAGGGCGAGTGAGGTGAGTCTGTTCTGACTTCTCATCATCTCCCACAGGGAAGGCCTGCTCTGACCATCCCCTGGAGCCCCCCTCCTGCTCGGCTGGGCTCACAGCACCTGCTGCCTTCCCACCTAAGTTCCGCAAGAAGGTGATGGATCCCCTAGACACACCGCTGAAAGGATGTCAAAGTGACTTCTTCTTCCACCCCTACATTAGCAATATGCCTATCACGTGCCCATGTTCAGCCGTGTTTCCAGACGGCTTTCTATGCACAAACCTCCTGGTCAGTGGCTCCCTCAAGGGTGGGAGGAGCTGACAAGCATCCTGCATGCATTTCATTCGGGGCACTAGCACCACCTGCCAGGCTCATTGTTGGCACAATATCTCAATTTTACTCTGTTCTCTATCAGTGTGTGGCGTCCGCAGCACGGCAATTAGCTTGAAGAGCCAATCGCTCTTGAAATGAATCACAGCAAGACATACCGTGACCTGGGCGGAGTCGAGGAACTGCAGACCAAAATAATCCGTTTCCACCAGGTCCAAGTGGTACACAATCTGGTCGAACAAATCCTGGCCTTTGGCATGTTTCTGGAAGACAAACAGGGACATGAAAATTAAGGGTATGACAGGTAGATAAGAAACAGGTATTTTTAAAAACCCTTTTCTCTCTATGAATTGCACAGATGCACACAAATTTGTAAATCTTTAATTTGTCTTATTTAGGTGAGGTAAGGATTTGTAATTACACATATTCAAACACCATGCAACCCTGCGGGGTTAAAGACCCAGATGAACACTGTCAACCCTGTCCCTTCTCTCCTTATAAGGAGGAGGCTTTCTGGATGAACAACTTTACCTGATTGTAAGTTTTCCCAGACCAGGCACTCTGCAAAGAGGTGTGATGGGCTCTGCTCCAGCACAGCCACACCTGGGCTGGCTGTCAAGTCAGGCCACCTTAGCAACTCTGCTAGTTCTTGTCAAATGGCTTGGCCAGCCTTCTCATTTTACAAGGGCAGTCAACCAAAGCCCAGGGAAAACACTAGCTCTACTACAGTGGACAGCCATCCAGCTAGGACTCAAACCCAAAGCCCAGGTCCACTCCAGGTTCTGTGTGGTTCACAGAGGGAGCCCGAACCCAAGAAGGCAGTCAGATGCAGCAGCCCCACCTGCTACCTAGAGACAGGCATGACCTTGGAAAACCACATCTCTTGCTTCTCCTTCTGCCTTGCAAAACAGGCTGGTGACAGATGCTTTCCCCCCGCCTCTTTTTAGGAAGACAGAGGAGATCTCAAACAGAAAGCTACTGCAAGAAGACTCAGACCTTTGACTAAAGAGGAGGCTTATTAGTACTCATCGAAGCAGAATACAGGCTTGTGTCTCTGATAAAAATCTACACCACAGCAAATACATTTAAATGAGGTGTCAAAGAAAACACTGACAGAGGAAACAAACAGCAACTTCTTACAAGGACTGGAGAATCCACTCCTTTTACAACACTGGCAATCGATGTGAAAGCAACCAGCATCACCTGACCCTTCCCTGGAGGGAAGAGTAAGTGGTAGCAAATACACAAATTAACTCAAGATGGACCAGGCCTCAGTGGAAGAGAGAGAACTATGAAACTGCCAATGGTACGTAGGCCCTTCGTGAGCATGGGTTAGGCGGTGGTTGGTGAAAGATGTCATCAACAGTAGGAGCCAAATAACCAGAGAACAACAAACTGCATGTACACGAATGACGCTTCAGTGCTTTGAACACACTGAGATGTCCAAAACATGCAAAGGCAATCCAAAACACGGGGAAGTTTGTAAATCATATATAGTCATCACTCCAGCACCACTGTGAGGAAATGTTCCAGCACCACTCAAGAAGGACCAAAAGGCACAGATGCTCAAATCCCTCACACACATGGCAAGTAAGTTATGCGCATCCTTACACACATGGCAAATAAGTTATGCACATCCTCTCACATGACTTAAATCCTCTAGAGGACTCCTGACACCTGAGACACCACAGATGTTATGTGAAAGCTGTTCTTGCTTCACTGTGCTGTCTAAGGAATGACCTAATGTACAGAATGTATAGAAGTGTCTGTACATGTTCAATACTGATGCAATTGCTTTTCAGTAGTTTCATTCCAGTCAGGGTGGTAAAGGGCTGACAGTGTCTGATAGATACTTTTATCCAGAATTTAAAAAACAAAAAATAGAACTATTACAATTCAATAATGAAAAGACAAGTATCTAAAGAGCCAGCAGATGGGCCCACACGTTGCTCTGAAGATATGCAAGAAGGGTTCGATAAACACCTAGAAAGGTGAGCAGCGTCAACAGCCACAAGCACAGGCAAACCACAACAACAACCAGACCCCACTCTCTACGCCCACTCAGAAGGTTGGGAGAGAAAAGGCCTAACAACAAGCTGGGTACACTGGACCCCTCACATACTACCGGTGGGGTAACCTGCAACCACACTGGAAAGCACTGTATCAGCTCTTCAAACAGTGAAGTTCAGATCGGATCATGGCCTGCAATTCCATCTGAAGGCACATATCCTACAAGAATAAAAATGCATGTTCATGAAAATGCTGTTCGTGGATGTTCGCAGCTCTAATCATTATACTTAAAAGGCAGGAACAACTGAAATGGACATCAATCGATGATCAAAATACAGAATATTCATTTGGTGGATGAATTCCACCATGAAAAGAACTGGAATACTGATGTAAGTATGGTACTGTAGGGGTAGACTCAGAAAACCCTCTGCTTCAGTCAAAGAAGTGGTCACAAAGGGCCGAACTTGTATGACCCTATCATAAGAAAGGTCAGGAGGCAAACCCTAGAGACAGACATTAGGTTAGTGGTAACGTAGGACTGAGGGAGTTGAGGGTTGATGGCAGGCTGATGTTTTACCAGTGACGCATCCCATAACTGACTGTGTTGACAGATGCAGGTTTCTGCATCTCCTAAAATTCTCTGGACTGGACACTCAGTATGTGACGTACAGAACATGGGTCCCAGTAACTCCATTACACACAGTAATGCATCTCATCATGATTTTTAGAAACCCAACATGTCAAATAATCAGGGATGAGAAAGTTGCAACATCAACATCTGACAGCCTGAATGACAGCAGAATGGCAACTCCCATCCCATCCAGCAAGCAGCCACAGCATCCCTGTGACAGAGCACCCCACCTCTGGAGCCAACAAATTGCTTCAGTCTCTCCCCAGGATCCTACCTAGGGGAAAAAGGAAAAAAAAAAAAAAAAAAAAAAAAACTCTAGAAACCCCATAATACAAACTATCCCATTTCCAGTATAGGAAGGAGAAGAGATGGGGTGTGGAAGGTACCCCTAGGTTCAAAGATCTAAAAAAGACTGTCTTCAAAAAAACAAGGTCAAACCACAATGCCTAGGAGAGACACACAGACGCACACTGTCTAGGATACACACTTTGGCGAGGGAACTTCAAATGAATAAGGAAGTGACCACAATAAAGTCAGGTAGCTGCTGCTCATGACGGGAAGGGCACACAAATGTGTATGGGGAGGGGGAGGACGGGACACATGCCTGACCAACACACAGGGTTCTATCTCAGAAGACAGGGTGTTTGCATTCTAATAACTCATCTCTATCTACAGGGCAAGAACAATATCACAAGGTCCTGGGTTCCAAGCCTCAGCATCTACCACAAGACTACAGACTGCACACTCTCCTTTCTGGACCAACAACTCTGAAGGCAACAACAACAGAAACAGAAGGCTAAATGTAAAATAAGGTCTCTACAGTGTATACCACTGGAAAAAGCGAGCCAGCTAATGTCCCAAGCACAAGGACAGAGAACAATGGCAACCCAACACTGCAGATACTGCCCTACCAGTGGAGAGGATAATTACAAAGAAGGAGATTTCGTGTAAAGAGGTAAATGAGCTTTGATTCCAACTACATAAAAGCATATGCGCTGTAGGACTGGCGAGATGGCTCAGTGGGTCCCGGCACTTGTCACACACGTCTGACGAGTTAGACGTCTGGGACCCAAGTGAAGGTGGAAGGAGAGAATCATCTCCACAGAACTGCCCTCTCGCTTCCACACATGCCCCATGGCACATACACACCCAGCCCCTACCACATGCACCAGGCACATACGATAATAAATAAAACGCTAAAACATATTCGCTGTACATTATGAACAGCTTTATAAAAGGACATCCGCTGAAGCAAACGTTCAAATGGAAAACTATTGAACTTCTCTTTAAACTGACCTTTGGACAGCTGTCAGACAGCAAATACGATTGGGGGGAGGAGGAGAAATGCCCGTACCCTGGCACTCTGCCTTCTTGCCCATAACAACCAAACCTCAGGATGTGTCCCCTGTTGCTCGCCAGTGCAGCCAGCCCCAAGCAACACCTGCTATTGTGGCAGCAATGCTTCATTAAGTAGTTTCCTAGTGGGATAGAACTAGTTAAGAAAGGCTTTAGCAGCAGGACAGGGCAGAAGACAGGCTGGGAGGAAGCAAGAGACCGTGCTCGGGGCCCAGATGGACTAGCCACTGCGACACAAGGCAGTTCATAATTCCCCCAAACCCCTGTCCCTAACCCAAACTTGTCCTGTGGGTGCCCTGAATATGAGGAGCCATAAACTCAAGCAGCCCCGAATCCAGTCTGCACCCTGCCTGTGCCTCTCTATGTGGATTCAAGACTTACCCTGCAATATATGATTTCATCAGTCACAGGTTATTACCTGATGATGCACAGTGAAAAGGCTCAGTGCACACCATCACTCCGCCTCATTCCAAACACTATTCCTCCGCCATCCTTTGGGCAGAGACAGGAAAGGAACCTTTCCACAGGAAAGCGATCCTTCTGTCTTGCCAGACCCTCCCTTGGTGAACTCACGCCTGCCTCTTATGTATCTGCAAACACTAATCAACTGTGTTCCTTACTAGATCTTCTGCTGGAATAATCAATTTCCAGCCAGCTTCAGAGAGAGGTGAAAGGAAGGTGAGGTTATGGAGGGGTCCTCAAAGCAGATGCTCTCAGGTCACTAGAAGGATGAGGATAGGAGGGTGGAGGCCACTGTACTAGAGCTCACACACTACTTCTCAGCCCCCTATCCTGCAAAGTCAGTTGTCAAACCCCAAGAGGCTCCAGATAACTATGTTTACCTGAACTGTCAATCATCTCATCACATGGAGCAGGGTTTATGGTCCTTCCTCTCAATCCCACAGGTAAGTGCACGCCTATAACTTTACACAGGATCACCTTGGAGTGCAGCTGTCTATACCCTCCCCCATCTCTCTCCTCCTTCCAAGTGAACACTCCCTGAGGAAGAGGCCCTAGTCATGCTCACCTGAGTAACCACACCCCTGTCCCTCTAAAGCACAGAGCCCAGCTGTCACACATCAGAACCTACATAGGTGATGCATATAACTAGGGAGCTGTATGGTAGGGTCTAGGGTCAAGAAGGATATGCAGTGGATATGCTGTGCTATGGCATCAACCACGGACTAACTGTGTATCGCAAGCAGCACATCTAAACACAAGAATATGCTCACTGCAACGTTTTCAAATTCTGTATTCCGAGAACCA